GTGCTCCTTGGAGGCGTGGTGGTAAGGCTCTGTCGCACTGCTTTGGACATGTCAGAGAGAACCGTGCCCGGAGGAGGACATCGTGCTTGGTAAAGCAGAGGGGCAGCGGAAAAGAAGGCGGCCCTGGACAAAATGGATGGTCGGTGTGGCTGCAACCGTGGGCTCAAACACAGCAGTAATTGTGAGCAGTGTTTCTTTCTGTTGTGCGGAGGGGTGCCATGAGTCAGAACGGTGTAGATGGCTCTTAACAACACCACCTTCAGAGCTGCCCTGCTCTTGTTCATTTGACATCCGGGCTCCTACGGTGGAAGAAACTGTAGCTTTCGCATAAAATTAAAAAAACCCAATGTCAACTCTTAGCGACCGGATGCAGTTGTCCCGGTGGACCTCGGAGGCTTTAACTCTTTATGGAGAGTAGAAAGCTTCTTTTTCCCTTGGAGCGGCTGGTGGATTTGAACTGCTGACCTTGAGTTTAGCAGCACAACTCAGAACCACTATGCCACCAGGGCGCTAAAGAAAAAATGAGATGCTGAAGCAATAAATTATACAAGTCTTCTGCAACATTTTAATTGTGCCCACCATCTATAGTCTGGGTAGCCTGCCACATATTGTTAGAATTAGAGCCTGCATATAAGCTGTCAGTAGTATTTATAGAGGAAAACTATATAATTAGCACGTGGCAAACTATAATAAATTTTTTTAGCTATAATAATTTGAGGATCCACCAAGCAGCCCGAATTGGGTGCTTGGAGACTAGTGTCTACTAAAATTCAGTTCATCTTTCCCTCTGTTCTACTTGGGGTGGTAATACATCAGGCTCAACTGCTGCAGGGCGCGGAGCCCAAGCTTTGTGGGTAACCACTTTACCGAGCCCACAAACTCAGGGGGAGGCAGGTGTCTTCTCCGGCCCAGGGAATGGAAGCATAGTAAGGGACTGCTCACGAGTAGGCAGGCTCTTTCTGCAAGGCTAAAATATTCTACAACGGAATGTGGCGTAATGGTGGTACAGCTCGGTGAAGATACTGAAAACCACTTTAGACAGGTGAACTGCACAGATGAATTATGTATATATAGATATTTTTCAAAATGACTGGCCTTTGTAGTGACTCGCTATGAGTCGGTTTTAACTCACAACTCCCCCACCCCCACCAGCATTTACCCAAGTGAAACGAATACCTATGTTTACAGAACCATGTTATATGGATCACCGCAGCAATTCTCCACAACAGCCCCAGAGTGAAAACCACCCAAATGCCTGCCGCCAATACACCGGCCAAGTCCTCTGTGACACGCTCACCGCCGAATGCTCATCAGCAATGCAGAGGAACGAGCTACTGAGACGGCACCTCCACAAATGGGTGACTCGGAAGAACATCCTGTACAAGAGCCACTGTGTCCCCACGATGGGGAGGAGCATCGGGGAATATTCTAGGGAGATGGGAATGTGCTGTATCTTGTTGTGTTGGCAGGGGATAAACAAGTGTGTGAGAAAGTCAAAACATACTGAAGTAAACCCTATAAAGATCTATGCATTTTATTGTATGGTGTAAATTACACCTAAGTATCATTCTGAGAGTTCTACTCCGTTGTATGGTGTAAATTACATCTAAGTATCATTCTGAGAGTTCTACTCCATTGTATGGGGTAAATTATATCTAAGTATCATTCTGAGAGTTCTACTCTGTTGTATGGGGTAAATTACATCTAAGTATCATTCTGAGAGTTCTACTCCGTTGTATGGGGTAAATTACATCTAAGTATCATTCTGAGAGTTCTACTCCATTGGTAATTGTTTTGGTCTGTTTGAATGTCAACATTTACAAGCAGCTTTGAAAATTTTACAAGGAAAGGTTCAGTCAGCTTAAAAACATGAGGGAAGTATAGTTTTTCAATGGCTTTAGGAATACCCAGCAAAAATAGATTCCAAGAACTTCAAGAAGTCCAGGGGGCCGGATCATTTAGTGCATAGGCTCCCAAACGTTTGGGCCTACTGTCCCTTTTCAGAAAAGAAAACTACTCAGGGCCCACCCACCATCCCATCCGCCACCCCCACCCCCAGCAATGAAAACCTTGAGTACCACAGACCATAATGCAGGATCAGGTGGAAGTATCTGCTTCTACAGCCCCCCTGGGTCATTCCAGCACCCTCCAGGAGTTGGTACCACCCACTTTGGGAAACTCAGATTTTGAGAAGGAGGAGGCTCAAGAAGCTAAGGGCAGGTAAGGGCAGGACCAGCCCTTACCCGAGATCCTAGAGCCTGCAAACGTGCTTCCTGGGTGTCCAAGGGTCACTCATATGTGATTGTTGACATGTGTTTCTCTAGCAAATGTGTGCAGAGCTGCATTCTAATGCATCTGCTTTGTTACCTGGGATATTTGCCGAAGGAGGTTCTAGAAGCTGGGAAAGCCTCACCTGTGGAAGAGCGTGTTATCATTTCTCTCAATTAGTGACTGTGGAAAACATCTAGCCTATCCCAGAAAAGATCTGTATGCAGTCTGAAAACATCAAGACATCGCTGAGATGTGTGCTGCTGTCAGAAGCTGCTCACATGAAAAACCGCACTGAGGTGGCCCAGAGCCCCATGGCTAGAGCTCTGGGCTGGGAAGATGAAGGTGGGGAGGGGTAGGTAGGGCCCCTGGCAGGTATACTCACAGAGCGGATAAGCCAGCTGACCAGAGAGTGCTTCTGAAAGAGGGCCGCGATCACGTTCTCCCACAGCCAGCCCTTATCTGTGGAGAGCACGAGGGGCCAACAAGTGAGCACACACATTGCTGTCCAAACACCAATTAAAATTCCAGACTCCAGTTCCTTTATCATTTTACAACTGCCAAAAAGCTGACAGAAGAGGAAAGTTGGGTAATCAATACTCATTTTATTAGCATGCAGGTGCCAAAGATTTACGCTTGAATCTCATGCCAACAATATATATGTACATATTGTATGGATTGTGATAAGAGTTGTATGAGCCCCTAATAAAATGATTGATATATATATGTATGTACCTATATATGATGTGTGTATTTGTGTTTATATATACTCTCCCTATATAGTATATATATAGACTACTATATATAAAAAATATATGTTATGAAGAAGTGATATGCTGTCCACTTAGGAGGAATCAGCCATGGAAAACTTTATGGACAAAATCAAAACAGTATTGAATATTGAAAAGCTCATGAAAAGATGTAGAACATTGTCAGAGATGGCACCAGAATATAAGCCCCTCCAGTCGCCAGGCACTCAAATACGACTGAGGAGGAGCTACCAGCTCAAGGTAAAGCCAGCCACAGTGATGTGGATAGAATAAAGCTTGCAGGAGTAAAGCCTTCAGGAACTTCATGTGCTGATGGGCACAACCCAAAATGAGAAGACACAGCTTCAAATAGGAATGTAGGAAGTATTATGAATCTGGGAAAATTGGAAATTGTCAAAAATGAAATAACATGCATAGAGATCAATATTCTGGGTGTAAATGAACTGGCACTAGCCATTTTGAGTCAGAAAATCATATGGTTACTCTGCTGGGCATGACCGATTGAAGAAGAATGGCTTGCACCCACAGTCAAAGAGATATTTCCAGAGATATCTTGAAGTACAATACTCCCTGGGATAGGATACTATCTATCCACATACAAGAAACTCTAGCAGACTAAAATAGTACACATCTTCATTCAAAGAAGTTAAAAAAGACTTCAAAAAGCCATTTGAATCTATAAAAGTGGAAAAAGTTGTGTGACAGGTTTATAATCAACACCAAAAACTAAACAAACCACTCATTTGTTTTGTTTGGGGCATGGCTTCAGGGAACAACCCAGTTAATTGGCCTAATATGTGCTTCTGCTGTGCCTCCTAGTTCACCGAGCACTGCCGTGGTCTTCAAAGCATGCACACGGTCATCCAAGGCACACAACTGCTGGTCACTGTTGATCTGCAGCAACAAGGGAAGAGCTGGAGGTCTAAGAAGAGGATCTAGAATGTGCGGCTAATTGCCTCCTTTGCCCTGAGACCACTGAACTGGACAGTGCATGGCTTCTGCGACCGGATATTTTGACCAAAGAATCAGCAAAGAATCCTGATCAAAAGGGGGGAAATGAAAAATACCATTTCAAATTCTCATAGACTCCAGCATTCCTGGATCCATGGAGGCTGGATGTACCCTTGACGTTATTGCCCTGAGATTATCTGTAAATCTCAAACCAAAAGGAACCCCTGGAGTCTTCTTGAAACCAAACTGGAGTTCAGCTTCACCAGTAAAATGCTGTCTGCTTTGAGCACTGAGCTACTTTACGAACTGTCTACAAGGGATCAAAGTGACAACTCCAACTCAAAGGATTAGGCAGACACCTTGGGGCTGGAACACGGACCAAGGAACTGCTCAGAAGAGGGTGAGAACGGGCGCTCAATCCAACAGACGTCATCAGCATCAGTGAACTGTGTGTGTAGACATCGTTGAACTCATGTATATCTTACCATGCATATTTTCAACAACAATTTAAAAAGAAAAACAATTTGAGAGTATTTCTTTAATGTGAACGATACTGAATTAACTCAGTTGCACTTAAACTACTCACGTCTTAAACCAAAAAAACTCACTGTCACTGGGTGGTTTCTGGTTCATAGCAACCCGAAAGGACAGGACAGGGATGCCTCTTTGGGTTTCCAAGACTTTACAGCTTTAGGGGAGCAGATAGTCTCGTCTTTCTCCCACGGAGTGGTTGGTAAGTTTGAACCGCTGACCTTGCAGTTAACAGCTCAACGCAGAATTCAATGTGAGCCACCAGTACTCACACCTCAGGTTCTACGAATCAGTTTGTCAAGCAGTTTGAATCGCAAAATAATGAAAACAAAAGCTGCTCTTTTCATAACGGTGCGTGCTACAGGTATACCATTAAAAACCTTCATAAGCGTCGGACAGGGCAAGATATGACAAAATACCCATTTATAAACTATCAGGGGCTCATGCGGGAGGGGGGAGCGGGGAGGGAGGGGAAAAATGAGGACCTAATGTCAGGGGTTTCAATGGAGAGAAAATGTTTTGAGAAACGATGTACAAATGCGCTTTACACAATTGATGTGTGCATGGATTGGGATAACAGTTGTATGAGCCCCTAATAAAATGTAAAAAAATAAAAATAATAAAAAAAACCTTCATAAGTGCCATGCATGGATTTGAGTTAACTGATTAAGAATCCCTTTCACAGCCGGTACTTGAGAAAATGTTGAAGAAAGCGATTAGGATAAAGAACCGACTAGTGTGGATGCTGACTCAGTAGAGCCTTAAAGAGAAAGAACAATCCTAACAAAAGAAAACAGTAAGAAGTCACTAAGACTTACTGCCAAGTGGATATCGACTCACGGTGACCTGTAAGACAGAGTAGAACTGCTCCTGTGGTGCGGTTGGGTTGCAGCCCCCCCAACTCCTAACAGGGCTCCGTGAAGTAAACTTCATGGTACTCTGTCCTTCTCCTTTGTTCGCCGCACGTGCTCTGGGTTTCCCACGTGTTGTGGAACTGAGCAGCATGCCCCAGCTTTGTGGTGGAACAAGGCAATTGGGCCAGTTCTCAGAAGGCCCATGAGACCTGCCTCCGCCACCTGAAACTGGTGTGGAGACCACTCTGACTCATGGTGAGAGACCTCGTGGGCTTCAGAGTACAGCCATGCCCCACAGGGTGTTCAATGGCTGGCTTTCAGACGCAGACTGCCAGGCCTGCCTTTCTAGGCACCTCGGGGTTGAACCTACAACTCGGCAGTTGACAACAGCCGAGTGCACTGCACGACTGAGAGACTCCCATTTCATCTGGTGGCCTCGGTTTCCTTCTCTGTATAATGGGGGCACTTGAGAGCATGGCCCGCCTCAGGAACAGGGATGCCAAGAGAGTCTGCTGAGAAAGCAAGGCGCCCTGGTGGTGTGGGAATCAAGCACCCCGCTGCTAATGGAATGGCTGGCCGGTCAAGCCCACCCAGCTCCATGTTAGAGAGGTGGCTGGCCGCTTCCGTCAGCCTTACAGCCTAGAGAACCCTATTGGGCAGTTCTAGTCTGTCCCAGGCAGTTGTGGTGAGTTGGAATCAACCCCAGGGCATCCAAGAACAGCAGCCTATGAACAAGGTCACTGTCCGCCATGAAGTCATGTTCAAATGTGATGGCTACACCACCACTGGAGTGCAGCCCCTAGCTGACTACACCAGCTTCCTAATGGACTCCTGCCTCCCTCGTGATGCGCTCCAATATATGTGAAAACTGGCCACTCCCAGAGGAGGTCATTAGATTGTGACCAATAAAATCCATGCCCCTCATCATGGCCCCAGCCGATAAGCCTCAGCTTCCCTCTCCACCTTTGACGTTGCCACCCCTAGCTCCATGCTGCCACCACAGGGGCCTTCTCGCGTTTCTGGAACCCACCACGCTTCTGACTGCGGCAGGCCTTCGCCCTTTCTGTTCTTCGCACCAGGAATGATCTCGCCCCCAGCTTTGGAACAACTGCTCCAGAGTCACACGGGTGGGTCCTCCCCCTGCCTCCCTCACAGTCACATCTTCCTGTTTTACTTCCTCTGTGGAGTTTTCTTAATTGTTTTACATGTCTGTTCACTCTCCCCGGCCCCGGGAGGGAAGGTGCTGACCTGTAGTGGAGCAGGGAGGAGAACGTGCCAGGGCTAAGGCTCAAAGTGCCTACAAGTGTGCTCTGCTTACCTCGTTCATTGCCAGAAATCGTAAACCTGTGTGGACTTTGACCGGTCCACAATCCGACATAGCCAACAAAGGTGGTTCCTGTGTACGCGATCTGAAATCAGGAGACAAGGCTACCTTTTACTCATCCGTCCAAACACACATGGGAGCCATCTGCTTCACCCTCCCGATCTCATGGCTTGCTTGCTTTTTTAAGTTTCAACATAAGAGAATTAAAAACTCTGAAACGGCCTTGGAGGTCTGTGGATAGAATGCAGTGGCTCTGTGACCCTGGAGGGAAAAACAAAAACAACAACAACAAAACAACCCAGGACACCTCTATTTTTCACAAAAGTCTCAGAAACGTAACTCCTTTTAGTTCAACGTACAGTACACGGGATCGCCATGACTCTGAACGGACTGGACAGCAACAACTAAGGAAGCGTGCAACAAGTCACGTGGAAGTAGCCGAATCCAAAACCAGACTCACCGACAGCAAGTCAGTGTCTGATTCATGGGGACCCTGCAGGGCCGGGTAGAACTGCCCCCGTGGGTTTCTGAGCCTGCAACTTGTTACGGGAGTAGAAAGCCTCATCTTTCTCCCACAGAGCAGCCGATGGGTTCAAACTGCTGACCCCTCGGCTAGCAACTTAGTGTAGAACCACTACACCGTGAGGTTTTCCTCACCATGTCTGCGATTTCTGTCACCACTAGAAATCAAAACTACTTGCACACATATGAGGCGTTCTGGGGGGCACTTTGGGTAATGCATTAGGCTCCTTACCACAAGGTCGGTGGTTCAAACCCACCAGCTGATCCCAGACAGATGTCCAGTCCTAGGGACCCTACACAGGGTCACTCTGCATTGCAATGGACTCGGCGGCAGAGGGTGTTTGGTTTTCAAACATTCAGCAGTAGAAGCAGCTCTTAAAACTCCACTTACACTCATCACAACTCAGAAATCATGGTGGTTATTTGATCTACAGCTAAATGTGCTACGAAAATATATTTACAATATTGAAATGGGTATATTTCAACAAAACTGCTTTTCTTTGCAATTATACATCTTTAATTTTTTTCATTTATAAAACAGCTCAGAAGGGACAAAAAGTCCGTAAGTTTCACCCGATTACCAAAGAGGTCCAAGCACACACGAAAGGTTAAAAAGCCCCATCTCAGAAGCAGCAAGTGAACCAACTGGTGTAAATGTCTGCTGACTTGGTGATAAGCAGTAAATCCAGCACATGTTTAAGGTCCTGTGAGGTGCGGGGAAATTAGTGGGACTGCTCGTCTAGGGCGTCTGAGTCAGCACCTACTCAATGACAGTCGGTTGTTATCAACCATGCTGTTTTCACTCTCATTTTACAAATGTCACTCGGCTTTAGTCCTCACAATTACCCTAAGAACTATAGGGCTCAGCCCCATAGTTACCCCACTCAGCCAGGGCAACCAGCTCCAGGGATTCGCAGGCATCACTGTAGAACCCAGGGAGAAAAGTCAGACTCCTACCTTTCCTTGCAAATACTGATTTTACTTTCTAAAGACACACTCGGTACACAGCCTGGTTTATAATGTTCAAAAAGGGTCACTATTTTTTTTGGTGGGGGAGGGAATAAACAGGACTAGTTAATATTTTCTCCTGAAAATGAATCTTAAGTCAGAAACAGCGTTCCCAGGGCGCCCTGAGTGACCCAGCTCACTGACACTGAGCGGCTCCCTCGGGCTGTGCATCTTTACAGGCAGAACGTCTCAGCTTTCTCCCACAGAGTGGCTGGTGGTTTTGATCTGTTGAACTTGTGGTTAGCAGCCCTGTGTAGCTCATTAGGCTACCATGAGTCCCTTTAGGTGTGACAGGGGACTTTGATACTTCAAGGATAGCAAAGTATTAAACAAAAAAAATCCCTGGTTTTACTGTGGGTCAAGTGTTGGATGCTAACCATAAGGTATGCCATTTAAACCATTGGCCCCCAAACGTATCTGGCCTGTTGTTGTTACATGCCAGAGCCCGTTCCGACCCACAGCGACCACACACACAGCAGCACGAAGCACTGCCCAGCATGAGCCACCCTCACAACTGCTCTTATGCCCATTGCTGCAGCCATGGTGTCAGTCCAGCTCCTTGAGGGTCTGAAGACCCTTATTTAGAAAAAAAACGACTCAGTGGCCCTCGGCAATTATAGCCCGTGATCCAGAATAAAGCGATAAAGGGCAGTTATCCGCTTTTTCAGCCCTTGGGGGGCGGGGGCCGGGGTGCAGTATCTCCCATTTGGGGAAACACTGGCTGATTTCAGCCAGTGTCTCCAAGGAAAGGAAGATCGTGTTGTCTGACCCAGAAAAGACTCAGTCTCAGAAAACTTACGGAGCAGCTCTACTCTGTCTGCGAGGGTGATTATGAGTTGGAATCGACCAGATGGTATTTAGTTTGTATTCTTATTCTTTTTAATTTAAAAAGGAAGCTATGAGGAGCCAGAAGGCCTGGGGTCTGGTCCTGCCTCAGCCACATCAGGGCCACAGGATCCTACCCAGCTAGGCAGTCTAAGGCCCAGAGCTCATCGCTGGAAAATGAGGATGAAAATGTTCACGTGCATCTGCCCCAGAACAGGGCCAGTGTGGGGAGCCAACGAGATGATGTCTATGGAAAGGAAATACTTTACAAGTTGTCACCATCAGACAAGAGTATGAGAAAAGAGTATTTTGTGAATCATCTGCTCTGAGCAGATTTATTTGCCATAAACCCTCGGGGGGAAAGGTTACCCAAGTATGAACTGATAGACGCAAATAATCTTCATCTTAGCACTAAGAACCACTCCGACAGGCAGCTTCTCCTGGGAGCCGCAGGGTAAATGGAAAGACATGTGCTAAGAACAGCTAGCTGGAGTGAGCTTTAGAGAGAATAGCTCGTTCATGTTCATTATAGTGATTCCCTTGTCGATTTAAGGGACTACTTACTCATTGCAGATGACAGAGAAAAGCTGGAAGCAGTACATGAAAATAACCTGCTCTTTCATTATCCAGTAAAAATAGCCACTAACATGTTAGCACCTTTTCTTCCAGAACTTATCATGCCTCTATATTAAGGGCTTATGAGGGAGGGGGGAGCGGGGAGGGAGGGGAAAAAGGAGGACCGAATGCCAGGGGTTTAAGTGGAGAGCAAATGTTTTGAGAATGATGAGGTCAACGAATGTACAAATGCGCTTTACACAATTGATGTGTGTATGGATTGTGATAAGAGTTGTATGAGCCCCTAATAAAATGATTAAAAAAAAAAAAGGAGGAGACAGACAGACACAGTGCTACAATGACGGGCTCAAACATAAGCACAATCGTGACTGGTGCGGGACCAGGCAGTGTTTCAATCCGTTGGGGGGGGTGGGGGGCGCTATGAGTCGGAACTGACTGGATGACACCTAAGAACAACAACAACAACAAAGCCCAAAACTAGTTCTTACACGCATGCTCTGCTCTGTGGTGCTCTGCCTCGTGGCAGTACCATGCTGCGTGCACTCAGACAACACTGCCTTTGGGCCTCTCGCTGGAATTTAACACTGCCACACGACAGACAGCCCACACATTTGAACTGAATCTTAAGGAGGTCCAATCAAAGACAAAATTAAAGACATCATTTTTGTACACAGCAGATATAAGGTCAAGCACGCTTGTAGAGTGAAGGTCCATTTATCACCCAGCCACACTAAGGGGATCCCCTACCACATGCGGTGTAGAGATGACCTCACCTAACCGTTACAACTCTCTCAATGTCATTACCGTCCCTGCGCAATGGTCTCCGAAAGAGGGATCAGTGATGGCCGAGGTGCACGCAGGAATTAAATGATAGGAGCAGGATTCAAACCCAGGTCTGCCAGATTCCAAGATGAGGGAGACTTAGAGATGAGCCTTTGTTCAAGGAGCGCAGGTAGCACACCGATGACGTGCTTCATTGCGGACTGAAAGGTTAACATTGGAACCAACCCAGCTGGTCTGTGGGGGACCCCCCTGGTAATCTGCTACTATAAAGATGCCAGCTTCGGAAACCCTCTGTCACCCTGGGACCCCGGGAGCCAGAATTAACTCGATGGCCCCTCATAGGAACCGCCTCTGTACTCCCCAGCTTCCAGGTCCAGCTGGGAACACGGGGAAGCAGAAGAAAGGGCTGCCTTCATAGACTAAGTAGGAGATTGGTCAGACCCCAAAAGAGATTTCCATAAGGAACACAGAGTGAGTTCTTTAAGGCTCAATAGTTACAATTGACCCCCTACTTCCTAGAAGAATAATCAATATAACTCATTCTCCTGGTTCCATTTCTCCAGGGATTCTGAATGGTTTTTATATCTTACACTGGCAGCGTGCTTTATTTCGGTAGCAGCTCACCCAGATGATTTCTGTATCTTATGCTATAGCAACTGTACCTGCCCGTTCTTTATGAATTGCACATCCACGGTCAAGTTGCGTAAAATATGTCCAAAATCGTAATCCAGATTCCGGCCATGGAAAATGTGGCCTCTAGAATCTTGGGCCACAATGCTGGTGCAGAACCTGAACAAAAGAAAGAGGCCAATGTGAATCAAGGAAGGCAGGGGAAGGGAAAATGAACTCTTCACTTTTAAGATCAGTCCTCAAAGTTAAACAGCTCTCCTTTCTTATAACTAACACACATGCTACAGTCCTTCCATAAAAATTAGATTCAAAACGGAAATGCAACTGAGAGCAACTCACAGTGTTCATTCGATGTGAGTGACCCTGTGCCCTTGGCACATAACGCCTCACAAACCTGCTGAACGGGGAGTTTCAACCCTCATCTACTTCAAGGAGAAATGGGGGTCCACCAGGGCTCTGCTGCTGGACCTCAGAACTCTTTTCATTCCTCTGCTTGGCTGTATTAAAGACCTTATTCAAAGCTGGCTTGAAGTCACCACTCCCGTCTGGGAATTTCCCAGGACAATCACAATGAGACTGAACCATTCTTCCTCCAGAAAACAGCCATCTCTTTTGAGAGTTGGGTCCACCGCTTTTGAGCATCTTGCATGCAGCAGGTAAGAGCAGGATCCTCTAAGGCCTCCCACTTGGGAAAAGTACTTTACGGAAAAGAAGAGGCCAGTCTGTTAATGAAGTACATAGGAGATAGTCAGGTCAGATTCTCAGACAGCAGCATTAGAGGAAAGGCAACAGCCAGAGATATACAGATGACTCCACCTTGCTTGCTGAAAACACTTAATGAAGAAGATGGATTACACCTCAACATAAAAAAGAAAAACAAAAATCCTCACAAATGGGCCAGTCAAACCTCATGGTAAACAAAGAAGAGACTGAAGTTGTCGAGCATATCCATGTACTTGGACCAACAATCATTCAGGCAACAGTCAAGAAATCTAAGAATGTATCACATGGACCGATGCATCTACTGCAAAGATCTCTTTAAAATGAAAAAGCAAAGCTGTCACCTGGAAGAGTAAGGCACACCTGACCCAACGCCTCCTCTACACGTGGAAGCTGGACCATGAACACGAAGAGCAAAGAATTCATGCCTTCGAATTCTGGTGTTGGCAACGAATACTGGACATAGTACAAAATGCTAGAAGACCCAGCAAATCTGTCTTATAACAAGTGCAGCAAGGATGTTCCTAAGAAGTCAGGATGATAACCATACTTTGGACATGTTATCAGAAGGGACCGGTTCTTGGAAGACATCATGCTTGGCAAAGTAGAAAAAGAAGATCAGCAAAGAAGAAGATGCTCAATGAGATGGACGGACACCAAGCTACAACAATGGACGCAAACGTAACAATGACCGTGAGGGCGGCCCAGCACTGGGCAGCATGGAAGTCTGTTGAACAAGCATGCTTGAAGATATCCAAACCACACAAAATAAGGTTGAGAGAAAACACCCTAAAGGATTGATGGTCATTTCTTACTCTTTTTAAATCGTTATCTATTTGGTTGTTGAGCGTATACACAGCAAACACACATGAATTCAAGTGTCTACACGTACAGCATCACTGCACGGCACTGATTAGATTCTTGCAGCTGTGCAATCATTCTCATCCTCCCTCTCCTAGTTCTTCGTCCCCCGCTAACATCATCTTTCCAGCTGCGGTTGAAAGGATTATTACTCATGTAAACACTAAAGAGCATGCTGCTCCAAAGCGAGCTTTTTACCACTGAAGCCCAGTTTACTAGTGGAAAGTCACATCCTTTCCACTAGTGGGTTCAAACCGCTGACCTTGTTACCAGCCCAAAGAATGACAGTGTATCTGTGAAACAGCTGGTCTTTAGAGCTTAGGTCAACTAGACACCCAGGAGGGTAAAGGTAGGGGTGGCACCCAACCTATCAATCAGGTGGCAGCCGGATACACCTCCTGGGGGTGTGGCCATCTGTGTAAGACAGCGCTTCTGAGCACAGCTGAACTCTTCTTTGCCCTTTCTTCTTCTGCTGGAGCTGGAGTCTGCAAACGGATCCGTGGTGCCACCTGTCGATGTCAGGAGCCATCAGCAGACTTCCAACTTTGGATTCATTTACCTCTGCATCCGAAAACCCGTGGCCCTCCTGCTTCCTTACCCTGCTTCCTGTGCATCAGCTTCCGCAGCTATACAAAGCAGAGAAGCCTTCAGCTCACGTCTGACTGACTTGACCCAGACTGAACTTACCTGTTTCTAAAACCGTGTAAGTAATTTCTTGATATAAATCTGTTTACCCATTTCAGCTCAAATGGGTCTGGAAGCACTCACTTGTCCATGCCAGGAAATTTGGAAGACAGCTATTTGGCCAACTGACTGGAAGAGATCCTGGTTTGTGTCCATTTCAAAGAAAGATGACCCTACAGAACTTCTGCTCAGACTGTAGAACGCTATCAGTGATAATGGCATGCAAACAGCATTTTTCTTAAGATCCACCAACAATGATTACAGCAGTACGTTGACAGGAAACTGCCAGAAGTTCAAGCCAGATTGAGAAGATGATGTGGACCAAGGGAGATCGTTGTTCATATCAGCTGGATCTTGGCTCAAAGCAGAGACTACCAGGAAGATGTTTACTCGTGTTTCATTGACTATGCCAAGGCATTTGGTCGTGCAAATAAGCTTGAAAAGAATCGGAATTCCAGAACACTTCATTGTGCTCATTCAGAACTTGTACACAAATCAAGAGGCAGTTATGTTAACAGAACAAGGAAATCCTATATGGTTTAAATTCATGAGGGGTGCTTCAAAGTTGCATCCTCTCACCATACTTGTTCGATCTGGATAATCAGTGAAACTCAATTATAGGAAGGAGAGTGTGGCATCAGGAGCGGAGGAGGGCTTACTAACAACCTTGGACGTGCTGATAACACCACCTTGCTTGCTGAATTCTGTCACTTCCATGGAGTCAATGCTGACTCATAGTGAGCCCCTGTGGGTTTGCAACACTGTTACTGTTTACAGGAGTTCAAAGCCCAGTCTTTCTCCCCCGGAGCTGCTAGTGGTTTTGAGCTGTTGACCACGTGGATCACAGCCCAACATGCTCAGCACCAGGGCTCAATTTGCTTGCTAAAAGTGAGGATGAATTGAAGCACTTGCTGATGAAGATCAAGGACTGCAGCCTCAGTATGGATTACAACTCAATAAAAGGAAAACTAAAATGCTCACAACTGGACAACATCATGATAAATGAAGAAAGGTTGAAGTTGCCAAGAATTTTGTCTTGCTTAGATTCACAATCAATGCTCATGGAAGCAGCAGACAAGAGATCAAAAGACATATTGCATCAAACAAATCTGCTGCACAAGACCTCTTTAGAGTACCGAAGAGAAAGGATGTTACTTTGAGGACTAAGGTGTGTCTGACCCAAGCCATGGTATTCTCCATTGCATCATGCATGTGCGAAAGCTGGACATTGAAAAAGAACACCAAAGAACAACTGATGCATATGAGTTGTGGTGCTAGAGAAGAAGACAGAAAGTACCAGGGGCTGCTAAAAGGACAACCGATCTGTGTTGGAAAAGTGAGGCCAGAGGATGGCAAGACTTCATCATACATACTTTGGATGTACTGTCAGGAGAGATCAGTCCCTGGAGAAGAACACCATGTTTGGTAAAGTGGAGGGGTGGAAAAAAAGAGGAAGGCCCCGGATGAGATGGATTGACACACATCAGTGGGCTCAGGCACAGGAACAATTGTGAGGGAGGCACAGGACCGTGCAGTGTTTTGTTCTGTTGTGCACAGGGTCACTATGGGTTGGAGCTGACTCAATGACACCTAACAACAACAACAACAACAACACACACACACACACACACACCACTGGTTTTGCTTCTCCACAGAACCCAGCCAAACATACATGGTCCCAGAGTGGTTCTAGAGAAACAGAATTATAAAGATGAATTTAATCATTTCTCAAGTCTCATTAGGCCTGTAGGCACTGAGAACTCCACCTCTGATTCTGTAAGTTTGGATTAGTCTGCCAGTATTGGTAAAGAGGACACCATTAACCCATGGTGTGAAGTGGCAAAGCTAATACCCCAAATAGCACCGCCCAAAGTGTTGGTGAGAAGTGGGACTCTGGGTGATCGTGTGCTTGATACCTTTCTACAATTTGTTCAGGATGAGAAGGACAGGGAAGCAAGTGGGTGGGCACTACTTATAATAGATAAATAGATAAAAGAAAGAGATGAACTTGGTGCTTTGAAAGCCCAAGTGCCAAATAAAAGACCTCAAAGTACCACTTGTGCCATGAAAGGAAGTCTTCTCTCTTCCAGTAACAGAACTAGCATTGCTGAACACCAAACCTACGGTCACGCCACAGGAACAGCTGGATTACAGCATCATCTCAATTCTCATCCCAGAAAGGTGTCCGGCATTAACGTGAGAGCGCTGACGGGGAAGGACTGGGACCCTGAAATTTGGGATGGGGATAAATGGGCCTAAAATTATCTCCTCATAATTGAGAAGATGGTGATATTGAGCCCTCGGATTCCATTTAGCTACCCCTCCACCCCCACAAAGTCTGGCTCAACTATGAACGCTGACCTCTTGGCTGCTGCCGCCAGCAGGATTGATTGCGGATCCACGGAAGATACAATTCTTGACAACATCAATGTTTTCTCCACTTATCCTGAAGTTACCTGTTGTCCCAGGCGTGCGGATTTTAGTTTTCCTCACACCGAGTGATAATCTGTTCTGAAGGCTGATGGCTACAATCCTTGATCTTCATCCGCCAGCACTTGAAGTCCACCTCACTCTCGACAAGCATGGATGTGTCACCTGCATATTGCAGGTGGTTACTAAACCTTCCTCCGATCCCGATGCCACGTCCTTCTTCATATAAGCCAGCTTCTCTGATGATTTGCTCAGCATGGTGAATGTATAAGTGTGGTAAGGGGATACAACCCTGACACACCTTTTTTGATTTTAAACCATTACCCTGTTCTGTTCACACAACTGCCTCTTGATCCATGTACAAGTTCCGCATAAGCGAAAGGAAGTGTTCTGGAATTCCCATCCTTCTCAAGGTTATCCTGTCTACTAATATACCTTTGCACAGTCAAGGAAACACACGTAAACATCTTTCTGGTATTCTCTGCTTTCAGTCAAGATCCGCCTGGTATCAGCAATGACATCCCTTGTTCCACGTCCTCTTCTGAATCCAGCCTGAACTTCTGGCAGCTCCCTGTCAGTGTACTACTGCAACTACTGTTGGATGATCTTTAGCAAAATTTACTTGTGTGTGATACTGTTTTATAGTTTGAGCATTCTGTTGGGTCACCTTTATTTGGAATGGGTACAAATAAGGATCTCTTACAATCAATTGGCCAATTAGCTGTCTTCCAAAGTTTTTGCCAAAGATGCGTGAGTGCTTCCAGTGCATCATCAGCTGGTCGCAGCATTTCAGTTGTTATTCCATCAGTGCTTGGAGCCTTGTTTGTGGCCAATGCTTTCAGTGCATTAGGTGCACCGAGTTAAAGTGCTGAAAAGCAAGGCTGCTACTTTGAGGACTAACGTGTACCTAACTCAAGCCACGATATATTCCAGGTGTCCTCAAACTACAGCCCATGGAACACATGCGGCCCACCGAGGACATTTATCTGGCCCACCAGGTGTTTTTGCCCCATTTGTTTTTTAACTTCAAAATAAGATATGTGCAGTGTGCATAGGAATTTGTTCATAGTTTTTTTTTAACTATAGTCCGGCCCTCCAATGGGTCTGAGGGACAGTGAACTGGCCCCCCATTTAAAAATTTGAAGACCCCTGGTATATTCAATCACCTCATAAGCATGTAAATAGTGGGCACTGAATAAGGGTGACTGAAGAAAAACTGACTCATTTGAACTTTGGTGTTGACAAAGACTATTGAAACCACCATGGGCCGCCACGCCAAAAGAACAGACAAATCTGTCTTGGAAGAAGTACAGCCAGAAGGCTCCTTAGAGGCAAGACTTCAAGACTTCTCTCATGTACTTCGGGCCTGTTTACTAGGAGAGAGCTGTCCCGGGAGACCGGCATCTTGCTTGATAAAGTAGAAGGTGACAAAGGAAAGGAAGACCCTCAGGGAGAGGGAGTGACCCAGTGGCTGCAAACATAAGCGCAACTGTGAGGAGGGCACCGGCGGGTGGTGTTTCCTTCTGTACTTAGGGTGGCTCTGAGTGGGCACTGACTCACAGCACCTGACAGCGACAACACCATGCATGCTGATATGCCATAAAACCAAACCCCCAGACAGATGAACCCCTCAGGAACAACAATGGGAGTAGCGATACCATGAGGGCAGGGGAAGGTGGGGGGAGAGAACGGGAGCACTGATCGCAATGATCGACGTATAACCCCTCCCCACCAAGGGGGATGAACAACAGAAGCATGGGTGAAGGGAGACAGCAGATAGTGTAAGATCTGAAAATAATAATAAATTTATAATTTATCAAGGGTTCATGAGGGTGGGAAGGTGGGGGAGGGAGGGAGGGAAAAAATGAGGAGCTGATAC